AGGCGCAGCACAGGCCAAACACAGGGCCGAAAACAGTCTAGTCTCAGTGAGCAAGGCAAGTTTGTGCAATTAGCTTTCTGGAGTCCTGTGCCGATGGGCTCATAAGGGAATTCTACCAGACATTTAAAGAAGAATTAATACCTATTTTTCTGAAGTGGTTTCCAAAAACAGAAATGGAAGGAAAACTTCCAAACTCGTTCTATAAGGCCAGCATTACCTTGATCCCCAAATCAGACAAAGACCCCAACGAAAAGAATTTCAGACCAATATCCCTGATGAAAATGGATGCAAGACTGTTGAATCACAGATCTGTACCTCTGAAACAAATAATGCAATATATCTGAAGAAAAAGAAGAAGAAGAAGGTAGCAGGAGGGGAGGAATGAAGGAAATCGGAGGGGGAGACGAAGCATGAGAGACGATGGACTCTGAAAAACAAACTGAGGGTTCTGGGCGGGAGGGGCATGGGAGGGTGGGTTAGCCTGGTGATGGGTATTAAAGAGGGCACTTCTGCATGGAGCACTGGCTGTTATGAACAAACAATGAATCATGGAACACTACATCAAAAACTAATGATGTAATGTATGGTGATTAACATAACAATAAAAAAAGAAAGAAAATGGGTGCAAAAATTCTGACCAAAATACTAGTCAATAGGATCCAACAGTACATTAAAAGGATTATTCACGCAACCAGGTGGAATTTATTCCTGGGATGCAAGGGTGGTTCATCATCTACAAATCAATCAACCTGATGCATCCCTTTAATAAAAGAAAGGATAAGAACCATATGATCCTCTCAATAGATGCAGAAGCATTTGGCAAAGTACAGCATTCGTTCTTGATTAACACTCCTCACAGCGTGGGGTTAGAGGGAACATACCTCCGTATCATAAAAGCCATCTATGAAAAGACCACTGAGAATATCATTCTCAATGGGGAAAAACTGAGAGCTTTTCCCCTAAGGTCAAGAACACAGCAGGGACGTCCACTCTCACCACTGTTGTTCAACATAGTACTAGAAGTCCTAGGCTCAGCAATCAGACAACAACAGCAACAAAATAATAAAAGGCATCTGAATTGGCAAAAAAGAAGTCAAACACTCACTCTCCACAGATGACATGATACTCTGTGTAGAAAACCCAAAAGACTCCACCACCAAATTGCTAGAACTCATATAGGAATTCAGCAACATGACAGGATATGAAATCAATGCACAGAAATCAGTTGGGTATGTGCTATGGTGAGCGCTGTGAATTGTATAAGACTGTTGAATCACAGACCTGTACCTCTGAAACAAATAATACAGTATATGTTAAAAAAAAAGATAGCAGGAGGGAAAGAATGAAGGGGGGGGAATCGGAGGGGGAGATGAACCATGAGAGATGATGGACTCTGAGAAACAAACTGAGGGTTCTAGAGGGGAGAGGGGTGGGGGGATGAATTAGCCTGGTGATGGGTATTAAAGAGGGCACGTACTGAATGGAGCACTGGGTGTTATACGCAAACAATGAATCATGGAACACTACATCAAAAACTGATGATGTAATGTATGGTGATACAACATAATAATAAAAAAAAAAGGAAACCGCAAATAAACCTAAATGTTTTGCTATCCAGCCTTTCCTGAACATAGATTGATATTAAATAAAGTGATCAATATGATTTTTAAAAAAATCAGTTGCATTTCTATACACTAACAATGAGACAGAAGAAAGAGAAATTAAGGAATTGATCCCATTGACAGTTGCACCAAAACCCATAAGATCCCTAGGAATAAACCTAACCAAAGAGGAAAAGGATCTATACTCGAAAAACTAAAGAACACTTATGAAAGAAATTGAGGAAGACACAAAGAAATGGAAAAATATTACATGTTCATGGATTTGAAGAAGAAATATTAGTAAAATGTCTTAGGCTACCCAGAGCAGTCTACACATTCAATGCAATCTCTATCAAAATGCCATTTACATTTTTCACAGAGCTGGAGCAATAATCCCAAAATTTATATGCACCAGAAAAGATCCAGAATAGCCAGAGGAATGTTGAAAAAGACAACCAAAGCTGGTGGCATCACGAGTCTGAACTTCAAGCTCTATTACAAAGCCGCAATCATCAGGACAGCATGGTACTGACACAAAAACAGACAGAGATCAATGGAACAGTATTGAGAACCCAGAAATGGACCCTCAATTCTATTGTCAACTAATTTTCGACAAAGCAGGAAAGAAAATCCAAAAGAAAAACAGTCTCTTCAACAAATGACATTGGGATAATTGGACAGCCACACGTAGAAGAATGACACTGGACCATTTCCTTACACCATACACAAAGATAAACTCAAAATGGACGAGAGACCTAAATGTGAGACAGGAATCCATCAAAATCTTAGAGGAGAACACAGCAACAATCTCGTAGACCTCGGCTGCAGCAACTCTTGCTAGACACATCTCCAAAGGCAGGGAAACAAAAGCAAAAATGAACTATTGGGACTTCATCAAGTTAAAAAGCTTTTGCACGGCAAAGGAAACAGTCAGCAAAACCAAAAGGCAACCTATGGGATAGAAGGAGATATTTGCAAATAACTTATCAGATAAAGGGCTAATATCCAAAATCTATAAAGAACTTATCAAACTCAGCACCCAAAAAACCAAATAATCCAGTGAAGAAATCAGCAGAAGACATGAATAGACATTTCTCGAAAGAAGACATACAAATGGCCAACAGACACATGAAAAAATGCTCTACATCGCTCAGAATCAGGGAAATACAAATCAAAACCTCAATGAGATACCACCTCACACCAGTCAGAATGGCTAAAATTAACAAGTCAGGAAATGGCAGATGTTGGCAAGGATGCAGAGAAAGGGGAACCCTCCTACACTGCTGGTGGGAATGCAAGCTGGTGCAGCCAATCTGGAAAACAGTATGGAGGTTCCTTAAAAAGTGAAAAATAGAGCTACCCTCTGGCTCAGCAATTGCATTACTAGGTATTTACCCCAAAGATACAAATATAGTGATCTGAAGGGGCACATACACCCCAATATTTATTGCAGCAATGCCCACAATAGCCAAACCGTAGAAAGAGCCCAAATGCCCAACGACAGATGAATGGATAAAGAAGATGTGGTATATGTACACCATGGAATATTACTCAGCCATCAAAAAGGATGATAGCTTACCATTTACATCACCGGGGATGGAACTGGAGGGTATTATGCTAAGCGAAATAAGTCAATGAGAGAAAGACAATTATCGTATGGTTTCATTCATATGTGGAATATAAGAAACAGCACAGAGGACCATAGGGGAAGGGAGAGCAAACTGAATGGGAAGTCACAGAGAAGAAGGAAAACCATCACAGACTCTTAACTATAGGAAATAAACTGAGGGTTGCTGGAGGTGGATGGAGTGATGGGGTAAATGGGGGATGGGCATTAAGTAGGGCATGGGATGTTATGAGCACTGGGTGTTATATGAAACTGATGAATTATTGAACTCTACATCTGAAATTAATGTTGTACTATATGTTGGCTAATTAAATTTAAATTAAAAAAGGAAAAAACAAAGTAAAATAATTTAAATAAACCAATTATCAATGAAAATATCAAGTATTCAGAAATCTGCCCAAAAATATGCAAAACCTCTATAGGATAGACCAATGGAAAACACTAAAAAGTTCAGAAAGACAACACACCATTCATGGCTATTAATTCACATCAGAAGAGGCAGAAAAACGGAGGGGATGGAATTTAAAATACAGTCACCTTTCCATGTAAAAACAAATGCAACTGGTCCCTGCCACAAAAACCCCATCAAGGTTTCCAAATTATCCAGATGTTACCTTCCCGATCTCTGGCCATTCTTGGTTTTGTTTGTTTGCTTGCTTGTTTGGTTGGTTGATCTTCTAGTTGTAAAAACAGTTTCGGTTAGGGGCGCCTGGGTGGCTCAGTCGGTTAAACGTCTGCCTTCAGCTCAAGTCATGATCCCGGGGTCCTGGGATCAAGCCCCGCATCGGGCTCCCTGCTCGGTGGGAAGCCTGCTTCTCCCTCTCCAGCTCCCCTGCTTGTGACCCCTCTCTCTGTGTCAAATAAATAAATAAAATCTTTAAAAAAAAAAACAAAACAGTTTCGGTTGTCAAGAAGACAGAAGATAAAGAACAAGCTAACTTAGTATCTGCCTTCTTGGTTGGTGTGCTTTGGAAAGTGAATGTGTGATGGACGAGAGCTGAAGTCACTGACAATGCCTCATCCATTCCGCCCTTAGCAAGCCCTATCATGATGGAGTTCAAGCCATCCTGGGATGTTCTCTTATCCTTGAATTGAAATCGTCTGGAGGCTGCAAGTCAAGATCAAAGTGTGGTGTCGTCAGGGTTGGTTCCTCCTCAGGGCCGTGAGGAAGAATCTGTTCCACTCTCTCTCCCAGCTTCTGGGGGTTTGGTGGCAATCTGGCATCTCTTGGCTTGTACAAGCATCACCCCAATCTCTGCCTGTAGCCTCACATGGCGCTCTCCCTGTGCATGCTTCAAATCATTCTTGTTTTCAAAAGATACCTAATGATCTAGAGAAATTGTATTATATATAATATATGTATATAATATACATGACATATTACATTAAATTTAAAAATAGGCATACAAAACAGTTGTATGATCCCAATTTTATAAAAATAACAATGTATGCATTTTTAAAAGATCAAAATGCAACAAAAACAGTGCTCATACATGATTCTTTTACATTTATGTTTTCTAAATTTTTCACTGAGAGCAAATACTACTTTTACAGTATGACATGTAAACAAATGTAATAAATGAATAAAGTGTGGATAGAAATCCTTTAAGTAAGAGGCTCTGGTCCGTGTGAGAGATACAAAGAGATTTCCACTTCATAACAACAACCACACAATGAGCACTCGTTATGCACCATGTGATGCTCTAAGAGCTCTCTTTGTGTACGTCACAAAAGCCGTATGAGGCCAATACTTTTTTATGCCCATTTCACAGATGCGGAAAGAGCTGGATAGTCAGCAGATCCAGGCTGGTTCAAGGATCAAGGTAACAGAATCTGTCTACTTGCTCACTTGTCTGTTTGAATTTGGTTTTTCAAACACAGGTTGCTGCCAGCACAACTACATTCATTTTGTTTGGTAATGGGGCAGAGGAAGAAACTAGTGGGTCAGTATCGTTATGTGTTAGTTTCCATGGGATCCAATAAGTACTTTGTTTGCATTTTTCACTTTTAACCTTAAAAAGCATTTTGTTTACTACTGCCCTGCTACCGTTTCACCCTAAAAATCACAGTGGGCACAATCAAGCAGGAGTTTCAACTCCACTCCACTCTGTGGCCTCCCCAGCCCTTCCGGTGAAAGGAATCAGCAGGGTGGGAGAACGAACTGGCTCTAGTCCCGGCACGGGGGGTCCCATCCCACTGTGGTCCAGCCGGGAGACCTTCTATATTTGCTCCATCTACAAAGTGAGCTATCTGTGTAGATCTCCACCAGCTCCTTTCGGAAAGCCACAGCTGGTGGGTGGTAGAGCTGAGCTCAACCTCTAGGTCTCAACTTTAAATCAGACTAATATTTAAGGTTGTTCTTCCTTCTGTGAAGGACAGGGTCACAGTATTTCTCCTCATGTTGTCTTATAAGAATCTCTGTTCACCGGTTAGGATTTCCTCACCATTAACTGTGTGACTTCAGACAGCTCACTTCTTTTTCTGGGCCACGGTTTTTCCCCTCTGCAAATGGAGATAATAATTGTATCTACAAAACAGGAATTTTTATGAGGATTAAATCATGTCTTGGCAGATGGTAAATACTCAATAAAAGGTTATTTGCCAGTATTCCTTCTACTGCTAAGTGGTTATCTCTAGTCAGTGTGCTAAGCATGTCTCCAGGAAGTCAGGAAGCAATTTTACATTTGATTATCAGAATGGTTGAGAGGAACGGTGTGGTTGGAGCTTGATTTTAGATATATGGATGGTATGAGCTTTGCCGCAGGTGCCCCTAGCCCAGTTGATCACCACTGACTTGAGATGTATGTGTAATACACAATTGCACAGAGTAAGTCCTATTCTTCTGAGATCCAAGTGAATAGGACTCTTTTAACATGTATCAAAGGTCTTTATCAAAATGAAATGTTGCTTTTAAGTGGAAATGTTTTTGCTTTTTAGGAAGTATACTGAGAACAGCGTGGGAAAATAAATGACCCCAAGATTCTATCGTTGTGCTAACTGTATTTTCCAAATAAATGAAAAGAAAGATGCTCTGACAAAGGAGTATTTTATGAATTTTAAATGCATACTAAAATGTAGTCTTTTGAACAGTTTTAAAATTAAATTAACAAGTATCTTTTATTTAGAATTTTAGAAATTTAAATTCATAAGTAATCCTTGATAGTTATAGAAGAAAAGGCAGTGAAGATAAATACAAAGTTGATAAGTATATCTGTATAGTATATAAATAACTAGTAACCATTTATATGTATTTACACATAAATATATGTTTATATTTAAATGTAATAATAATACATTTTATAGGCAATACACATATATGATATATAATGTAGCATTATTAAATATTATGTAATAATAAATCTATTAAATAAATATTTAAAAATATGTATATATAACCAGTGAGTTACCTTACATAATTTTTTTCCCTGACTTTTTAAATAAGATTTAACTTGGTCTTGTAAGTTTACTTTTTATATACAAGGGGTATTAATACAAAAGAATATAATTATCCAAGACAGTCTGAAGAATTCTGAAATGTATAGCTATTATACGGGTGAATTTGATCATGTTCTAGATGATCTGTGTAATATTTTAGCAAGTAACAAAACAACTACATTTTTCATAAGATGGTATGCCAAGTGGCCATAATCTTGTAATATGAAAATATTAAGAGCAGTTACTGTTTCTGTTAAATGTTAATACCCGGGGCGCCTGGGTGGCTCAGTTGGTTAAGCGACTGCCTTCGGCTCAGGTCATGATCCTGGAGTCCCTGGATTGAGTCCCGCATCGGGCTCCCTGCTTGGCAGGGAGTCTGCTTCTCGCTCTGACCCTCCTCCCTCTCATGCTCTCTGTCTCTCATTCTCTCTCTCTCAAATAAATAAATAAAATCTTAAAAAAAAAATGTTAATACCCTAACTCATTTATTTGATTCAGTTATCCGATTAGCCACTTAAGTATCATTGGGGACATTATAGGTACTATGTTTATAGTGTATGCCCTTGCAGAGCTCAGAAATCTAATGGGGACGGTAGATAATAAATAGGTAAACAAATTAATATATAATAAAAAATTTTGATAAGAAAAATAATAGTGTGCTTGGATTACAGATAATAATCTAGCCTAAGATTAGTGAACAGGGCAGGCTTAGACATAATACAGAGATAAGAAGTGTTGTATTTGTTGCTCAGTATTTTAAATCTCATCAGAAACCAGTGAGGAAAGTTTTATTAATATCCATTTTGCAGATGTAAATATGAAACTCAGAGAAGTTAGAAAAACATACCAAGTTCATTCTAGTTGTGGTGTGGGAGAGCATTTTGAAGTGTATATTTTTGTTGTTTTTACTGCTTACCCACTAGAGCCCTTCCTGACCACTGGGGTTTGTGTAATGCCAGATTAGCCTGGACTGATCCCTGGAGGTTAAAGTCACCAGATGTCCATAATTAGTAGTGACAGGCTCCCTTTAATCTTCCTTTCCCATATTTATTTATTTAGGACACAACTCTGAAATGCATTTTTAATAAGGTAGAGAACCATTGGCTTTAGAACAAATTTTAGAATGTTTGGAGCAATGGATACATAAATACACTTTAGGATCTTTCACAAACATGAATTTGGGCAGCTAAACTTTTGGGAAGAAATGAAGAGCAGAGTTCAAAGGTCATCAGTGCTACTAAGCACCTTGGATACAGGGATTACTATGTAGGGCAGACCCATGTGCTTGGACAACCAAGAGGGCAGCAGATAGAATCAGGATCCAATAGAAATACTTCCACCCCCCAGCCCAGCGGGAATCTAACTAAGGTATGCACCTGAATGGGTCCTCATATCCAATAGGTTTAGTGGGCTTCAGAGCACCTATGATCAGAACCAGAATCTTCCTCAGAAAACTGTCCTAGATTATCTATTTCTGTTTTTTTTTTTTTAAGAATTTATTTATTTATTTGACAGAGAGAGACACAGCCTGAGAGGGAACACAAGCAGGGGGAGTGGGAGAGGGAGAAGCAGGCTTCCCGCGGAGCAAGGAGCCCGATATGGGACTCGATCCCAGGACCCTGGGATCATGACCTGAGCCGAAGGCAGACGCTTAACGACTGAGCCACCCAGGCGCCCCCTATCTATGTCTGTTTTAACACAGAAGTTTGAATAGGTGAGGAGGGCTCAGTGTTTTACTCTGTATTACGGCATAATCATAGTGTATTTATCTTAGGTAACTTCTAAAACAGGTATTTTTGATTTTCTACCATGATTATAAACAAAAAGAAGTGTGTCTAATCAATCAAGAGTGTGTCTAATTGAATAGTATATCTTGTTGCATCCTGAGGAAACAGAGGATGTAGGTATAAATAACCATCGGCTGTACACTATCTCAATCTTGGAGGAAATTTTTCCACCTGGAGAGGTCTTGGAAATGGTGGCTATGTATGTCATCAGAGGACTTTGCCCTCCTCTCTTGCTCTAGTTAGATTGAAAGGGACCATTAAGACTCCCTTTGGCCAGAATGCCTGCTCCTATGGAGAAGTCACCTCTGTGGTAGAGTGCCATCCTGCTGCCACTACTAAGGAAGGTCGTGACAGTTCATTAGCCATCAGGCCCCCTGCACTGGCATTTATGCAACTGGGACACTTTCATCTTAACACTGAAATGCTTAACTGAATCTTTAGGGCCTGAAAGTGTGTTTTAGAAACCTTCTGAACCTTCTTGATAGTTGAGGGCAGGGCCAATGGGATTTTTTTTTTTTTTTTTTTTTAACTAGAATTGGCCTTGAAAACTGAAAGACCATTTACTGATACATCCTGTAAGGCAACTTAAGATGAGCTGGTAGAATTCACTGTGTCACAGTGATTATGGACCCAGAGAAGTTGGGTGTTAAAAAAAAGTAGCAAATTCCATCCCAGGTCACCTTTAAGTAGATATTATAAATCTTTAAATACAAGTTACTTTTCTTCTCAGTGGGAGGCTGGTGAAGATTGCTAAGGTGACTCCCATTTATAAGGAGTAAAAGATCCTGGCAGCTACTGTTCCTGGTAATCAGTTCCTTCTCTACTACCCTGAAATTACTTTCAAGGTAGTTCATAAACAGGTTTACAGTTATTTTATGGCTTGCTGTTTAATAGTACCTCCCCAGTCTGAATTTTACTCAAGATATTTTACCTTACCAACAGGGCTGAATTTACTGGCTCTATTAGACACGGATACCAAGTTAGAGAAAGCAGTGAGGTAGGTGTTTTCATCCTGCATAAAGTGTATCTGCTGGGTTTTTAAGCTCAATCTGTTGCCTTGCATTTGGCAAGAGCCAATTCTGTATTTTTCTGAGGAAGAATAAAATATGATTTAATTCCAGTACCTAACCTAGTACCTGGTATATAGTAGGCACCCAGTGAACATTTGTTTATTGACAGTTTATTTAAAAATTTATTGGTTGGTTACTCTGACCGGACCTCATGTCATACACATAAAGTTAGTCTAGTCGGTCCACCATATGTCTGTGGATGAATGAATGACTCCACTCAAGCTCATTGTTATCTGTGGAGAAGCTCCCTTTACACAAGCAGTGGTGGAACTAAGTGGAATCAGGTGAATGGATGTTGGATGGCTAACAACAAAGTTTAGTAAAAACACTAAGGAGGGACAGAAGTAATAGTGATCAACTTCACAGAGGTTATCTCTGTGTCCCTACAAAGTATGTTACCAACTGTGGAATGCTGTGCTTGAATGTAAATGGCATCTGTCACCTCACTGTGACACCAGCGCTCAAGGAAACATTTAAGATTGGAGCTATCCATGTTTATTTCCCCAAGGTCATGAAAGGTTGAAATGTTTTTATGTTTTGAATCACAGAAGTCCTTAGTCTTGAGTCTGAGTTTCAACCGGGCTGTCCCAGAGGCTCACAACGGAGATTGCTTTCTCCAAAGAATAGTGTGAGTTGTTAAAAGAGAGGAAGGAGGGGGAGAAGGTGGAAGAGGGATGGAGAGAGGATGGAAGAGGGAACAGAAAACCCTCTTTGTAATGACTCTGGAATTCTCTAAATGGACAGTAGTGATGGAGTGTTCTGCAGGATTTGAAAAATGATATAAACAAAGGTTATGTAAAAACAGTCATTTACATCTGATCTAATGGTAAATGAAAATATAAAATATATGTATATAAAATATATAAATATTTATAAATTAGATTTAGTATTTAGAAATATTAATCATTTATAAATATTTATAAGATATATAAAATATGTATTACATGTATATGAAATATGTGAAAAACAATAACAACTGTGGTAAAACGCATGCAACAAGCTTTGAGTAGTAACATCCTGGAGAGAAATACATAAAATCATTAATAACAATTACTTTAGGATGGAGAGACAATTACTTTTAAAAAACATTTCAACAGTGATCATATTTTTTTTTTAAAGATTTTATTTATTTATTTGAGAGAGAGAGAATGAGAGACAGAGAGCATGAGAGGGAGGAGGGTCAGAGGGAGAAGCAGACTCCCTGCCGAGCAGGGAGCCCGATGTGGGACTCGATCCCGGGACTCCAGGATCATGACCTGAGCCGAAGGCAGTCGCTTAACCAACTGAGCCACCCAGGCGCCCAACAGTGATCATATTTTAACTATGAAAACACAAACTCTATTTTTAAAAAAATAGAATTGACATTTAAGAGAGAAGCCTTGCAAGGAACTGAATCCCCTTCAATATTGCTCCAAGGAGGCAGGAGATTTATTTACTTAGCATTATACATTTTGTCATAGATTATGGAGAAATGCTTTAGCTCCTAATCATGCTTCACTGCTGCTTCCATTTGATACGTGCTTATAATACCAAAGTGTTTTGTGAGAGTGTTCCAAAACAGTTGTAGTCTTAGCTGGTTCAAAGTCACACAGTTCAACCCTGGATCCATATCCCATTGGAGGCAAGTTAAGGAGAACACAGACAGAGCTGACTAGAGGCACTACAGTGTTGAGGTACAGAGAGCTCAATCAAGGCTGTGAGTGGCTCATGTGAATTGTGAAAAGATATCTAGGGATAAACTTCTCCAACTAAACTATTCACTAGCATTAGAGAGCTTCAGGGATACAAGTTTACCTAAAGTCAAGTGTAAACAGATGCCATATTGGAATGTTGTATCACCTCTTGCCAGGATATGGCTGATTCTGCATTAGGATAAAGCAAACACAGTAGCACCGAAATTCTGTTTTCTATGTCTTCCAAAAGAACGTACCAGCCGTTAAAATTTCTCATTAATAAGTTCAACTTAAGACACATAGTAGTACAAGTTATTAATAATAGTGATGATGATGGCCAGACTAAGTTCTTGTGATAGAAACAGTATATTTATAAAACATTCTTTTTGTGCTTTCAGATCTAAATTAGCCCTTTAAAAAAAGATTTATTTATTTATTTTTGAGAGAGAGAGAGAGAGAGAGAGAGAGACAGAGAGTGGAGGGACGGGCAGAGGGAGAGGGAGAGAGAATCAAGCTGACTCCGTGCCAAGCGTGGACCCGAGATCACGACCTGAACTGAAATCAAGAGTTGGATGCTTAACTGACTGAGCCACCCAGGTGCCCCTAAATTAGCCCTTTTATATTGCATGGCACAAAACTCTAGAATCTCTATTTATTTCTTGCCAGGACAGATTCAGGGTTTCTTCTTCGAGTACAACTTTAACTTTTATTTTGGATCCCTCTGGGACACACTTACTTACACATGAGAGTCTTAATCGTGTTGGTGCCAACAAGCCTGAACTTGGTGCTCAACTCACAGTAAGACCCCTTTAATAAAGGGGTCTTTTTTTTTTTTAAAGATTTTATTTATGTATTTGACAGAGAGATAGAGAGCACAAGTAGGCAGAGCAGGCAGAGGGAGAGGGAGAAGCAGGCTCTCCCGCTGAGCAGGGAACCTGACACGGGGTTCGATCCCAGGACTCTGGGATCATGACCTGAGCCGAAGGCAGACGCTCAACCAACTGAGCCACTCAGGCACCCCGGGGTTTGTTAAATGAAACAGAAAAATCCCTGATTTCTTTCTTCCTGTCTTCATGGTAGCCGCATATGGGCCCCTCCATCAGGATTATCTGAAGTCACTTGGTGGCTTTACCATGGGTAAGGGGACTGTTTGGCTGATTTTAGGCTCCCTTCCTCTTAGGGGAGTATAGATTTCACTTTTTGCTTACCCTCCTCTTTCCTCCCCTTCCGTCCACATTGGATTCTGTTTACTGCGTGGTCTTAGATATGATGGTGTCATGTGTCTCTGTGGTCCAAGCACCTGTCCTCCTTCTTTCCTTGGAGGTAACTTTGGAGTGCATGTCGGCCCAGTTTCATTTTTGAAGCAACTCACATCTCAAATTCTGCCTTAAGTCACCTTAACCCGATTTAAAGCTTTCTTGTCCTCATAGCTTTTATAGATAAGCAGCATATGTCTTGCCTAGCCATCAAATCTAATAAGAGCAGACAGTCTTGTCTCTCTGATGGTTCCTGTGTAATCATCCCCCATCCATGTGTCATCTGACACAGAACCTTTTGTCAGGTTCGGAAAGTGAAATTCATGAGTTTAAAAATAGAGGACATCCTCTGTGGAGTTGCAGCCATACCAGAGTTAGACTTTCTTCAAACAGGGACCACACAAAAGCTGGCTGGCTGATGGCAGCAACACAGGATGAGCTGCGACTCCTTTGGAGGCTGGTATCTAAGACCACCGGTCCATCTGGCACTGACACCAGAGTCTTGGCCACTGATGAGCATATTTCCTGGGCTGAACATTGCCCTTTGCCTGAACTCTTTAAACGCTGTGCTTGTTGCTATTGCTTTAGACTCAAGAGTGTTATAGCTGCACTTTTTGTGCTTATTGCATTGGCCTCCTTTGGTTCGGATGCCACAGTGGTGTCCTGATAAGAGAAACATTAAGGACAAATAAGCAAAAATAAATAAAACAGGATGGAAGTCACAGCATAGCACAATTACCATTAGGTTATTAAGTCCAGAAAGAGGACTTTTTAAAAGTGTTAAAAAGATACTATATTAGAATGTTGTACTGTCTTTTGCTAGTTTGTAGCTGACTCTGAATTAGGATAAAGTGAAAACAGTAGCAACTAAGCTCTGTTTCCTAGTATGTCCTCCAGAAGAACAGACCAGCAATTAAAACTTCTCATTAATAAGTTCAACTTGTAACACATAGTAGATTTATAATACAGGCTTGTTTGAATAATGATGGTGATAATAAAGGTACTTACAATGCTATAAGCTAAGTATTTTACATATAACTCCTCCCTAAGGAGGCCTACGAGGAAGGATTTACTATCCCCACTTTATAGATGATAAAACTGAAGCTCAGAGAAGTGACTTTTTTGAGGACACATGGCCATTAAGTGTAGACCCTTTATGTATCAGCTGGTGTTTTATCAGGGAAGCAGAGTGACTTCTGATGGTGATGTGGACTAAATAACTTATTATAGAGATTAGATCTTTGTTAATTGTGAAACTTGGTGAAGTCTGAGGGAGGCTGTTGCCTCTGCATCTCTAGCGATGGGCTTGATGTCATTGTTGGTAATTGAAGGGGATTTATTATAAGGATATAGAGCTATCTTATGGAACTTTGGGCCCTAGCTAGTGCTTGGAATCAGTAATTGGCAAGTCATTAGGAACCAATGTGCTGGTGCATTCTCTGTCTGTGTCTGTGTCTCTTTCTCCCTCTTTTCTTCCCTTCCTATCTCTCCTTCTCTCTCTCAGCATGGACTTTTGTCTCTGTTTCTCTGTGAGCATCTGCTATACCTTCTCTTTCCAAAGGCTGACATTTTTTTTCTCTTTTGTGCCTTCGGTGGAAGATCTACACTTCTATAGCCACCAAATGTATAGATTTTATATCAAGTGCCCAACAGAGAATGACTTGGGGCCATGAACCCTAATCTAGATTCTAGGGATACAGAATCTCATTGACCCAACTTGGATCAACTGTGACTAGAGAGAAGTACAATGAAGACAAGGAGGGTCATGGGTGGGCAGCCACCTCCAAAAGTGTGTTACAGCCAGGATTGTTCTGGTACTGTATAAAGAATGAGTTGCAGGGGCGCCTGGGTGGCTCAGTTGGTTAAGCGACTGCCTTCGGCTCAGGTCATGATCCCAGGGTCCTGGGATCGAGCCCTGCATCGGGCTCCCTGCTCAGCGGGAAGCCTGCTTCTCCCTCTCCCCCTCACCCTGCTTGTGTTCCTGCTCTCGCTGTCTCTCTCTCTGTCAAATAAATAAATAAAATCTTAAAAAAAAAAAATTGTTAAAAAAAAAATGAGTTGCAGGAAGTGTTAATGGAAACACGGAAAACAATTAGAACACTATCATATCTACTCATTTCTTTAATTTAGGTGAGTGCAACAGTGGTGGAGGTGGAGAGAAGTGGTGAGATTTTGGATATTTCTGAAAGCTGATTTGACTTGCTTCTGTAGCAGTCTCCTGAAACTGATCAGGTGAGAGGGTTAAGATTTTGCTTTTAAAGCCAATGTATCCATTTCCAATGAAGGGTTACCTTGTATCTGGATAGTCATGGTTTTCAGATAATGGTAGAGTGGTTATAGAGATATAATCTGACTTCCACTTTCTGAATTCATGAAAAAAAAACCTGAAGATCAGAGAGATCAAGGGATTATGAAATATCTCTTTTTAAATTTAATTATATTTTTAGCCATAATCTCTCATCCAAATTGCACAGATCTTTTAAGAATGTATTTAGAAAAGGAATTCAGTGATCAGAACTACACTTGACAGATTGGGTTAATCTTCACTTTTTCAAGTGAATTGGGATTAAACTAAATTGTTCTCACTGTAACTTAAAATAACTACTTTCTCTACCAAAAAGAACAAGTATTTAAGTTGACAATCTCATGGTGCTGATTCTGCAGATGTCTCTAGTTTGAACATACGGTGATTGTACTTACCACCTGTGCTGAAATTCTTGCAAACACTGGGGATTTGAGACCAAATGTCAGCTCCAAGTTTGATATTTATTGGCTTCAGTAACTCTTCCTCATAACCTTCTCTCAACCTTAAAATAGTTTAAGATTATTGTATTTGTCTGAGTGTTAGTAAGGAAAGTCATTGCACTGTGGTGGAGAATGGTATTTGAGCAATTGTGATAACTTGTTTCAATTCTGGATTATTATACTTTTCTTTGTCATCTTGGGGCTTTCTAAGCCACTAGCTCCTCTCCTTAATATATTGTAATAAGTATTTTTTTTTTTTTGTATTTTGTTATTCTCATTTTTATAATTTCATCATCTTATGTGAGTTTAAAGTCATTTACAAAAAGGAAAAGAGTAAAAGATTCTCCTTAGGCTTCAACACATTTAACTTTTAGTACTGAAATACTTTTATGCTGTTCTTATTTTATTGCATCTATTAATATTTATGTACAGTTAAATTCCCTTATAATATTTTCTAAGAGACCAAGTTTTAATAGTATAGGCAGGAACAATGTGAAATGTATAATACAGTGGATGTGGAGGCAATTTACAATAGTTAGCCTGCAGGTAAGACACTTCTTAGCATAATACATTGGAAAAAATATATCTCATCTTATTCCATAGACTTGAAATGGCCACCATAACAAGGCAGGTTTGAAAAAAAATGGTTACTATATAAGCTTTAAAGAGAAGGTGGAATAGAATTAATAGAATCAGGGCTGAAATGGAATACAATGACTTGATGTTTATGGACTCATTTTGGTCATATGTTAAAAATTTTTGTATCTGATCAAAGGGGTATACGTAGATACATTCCAATTAGTTGGGTTTTTTTTTTTTTTTGGTTTCTCTTTCATAAATGTTGAACATGAGTTGTAGACATATTAAACAGTTTGTCCAAAGTGGTTTAGCAGTGAACCACTAAAGGAACTAGTATTATTTTATTTTTTTAAAAAGATTGTATTTATTTATTTATTTGAGAGAGAGAGAGAGAGAGTGCACGTGAGTGGCGGGGAGGGGCAGAGAGAGAGAAGGAGAGAATCTCGAGAAGACTCCATGCTGAGTGTGGAGCCCCACGCAGGGCTCCATCTCACAACCCTGAGATCATGACCTGAGCTGAGATCAAGAGTTGGACGCTTAACTGACTGAGCCACTCAGGTGCCCCAAAAGGAACTAGTATTAAGAACAAAGTGTTATGTCCTAACCCTTAGCTTTGCCTTTATGTATTTGTACCACTGTAGGCCGAGTGACTTTGGCCCATACTAGGTACTCAGTAAATACTTGTTGATTGATTGAAACACCGAGCCACAGTTTTCTCATCTCTAAAACTGGAATAATAAAACCTACCCAGAGAGTGGGGAAAACTTATGATCTACATGAAGATAGTTGGAAAAGTTTCATGAGAGGGCAAATGAGTCATTTAGGGATTTAGAATTTTGGTCCTAGAGCTCACTTTCATGCTATTTAAAGCAGAATGTACAACAGGAATGTGTCCACTCGTGGTTATTAGTCAGTATGTGGTTGTAAAAAAGATTATTGAAAGCATCAAGAAAGTGTGGAAAGGGAGAGAGGTCATGCAGAAAATGAAGGAAGAGCAGAGGGTGACAAGATGCAAGGCCACTGCCCTCTCTCTGCAGTGGGAGTCAGGGGTAGCCTTGCCCCTTTGCTTTTGAGTTTTGTGGTGCTCCGCTTTCGCATCTGCTTTTAACCTGAACATTTTTCTAAGGCAAGCCATCACGCCATCCCAGTGAGGTTGTGGGTTCGCTGGTCGGTTAGAGTGCTGCCTTCATATCTCATTGCCGGCATATGGTCTATGGTGAATAGCCCTTCCATTATTTGCACAGCTGTTGAGTAATATTACGTTAAAACATTACATGCACAATTATGTTCAATTATATAAAATGAATCTATTTTACCTAATGCTTATTCTCTAGGGTTTGTGCATCCTTAGTTACAGGAAGTTTAGTACAGAGTAGCAGATGGTACAACACAGTGTTTGTCAGCTAATAAATTTAAATGTCATGGCAGGCTACATTTTTTAGCATATGTATCTATATATTTTAGTCAAATGCCTCAGCTTGCTTTTGAAGTAGAGGAGCAACTGTACGAAACTTCATGCATTTGTATCTTTTCTCGGTGTGATGATGTGGTTGTGGGACGGGAGGGCAGGTGCCAGTAAGCCAGTAAGCCATAGCATTTTCTTTGTACTTTGGCCTCTCTGTCTTCCCCAAGGACACCGCCTGTCAGAGGCACTCCTGTGACATTGCTCTCTGTCCTTTCTCTAAGACTGCTTCTCTAGTTCCCGGTTCTTGTCACGTGATAGTGATGTCACTTCTCTCCTTCAGCCCCGGTTCCCTGCGCTGGCCCGGGCTGGCTGTGGGCTGCTCTCCTCGCACTGATCCCAGCAAACCCTTCAGTGGTGCACTGGTCGGCATATTCAGTCGGCATCCTGTCATTTTTGCCATGTTCTTCCTAGGAGTTCCGTTGGCTCAGGCTTTGGTTGGGGGAGGCAGGTGTTTATCTTCGACATCCAGACTAGGGGATGGTAGAGATGGTCCTGCTTGCACTGAGACTGCAGAACGCCTTTCCTCCGGTCCATTCCCCCTGCCTTCTGCCCTGAATGGAAGTACTTCTCACTTCCAGCCTGCTTTTCTGGGAACTCGGTATTCTTACACTTTTCAGGCCATCCATCTGTTTTGAAACTGTCTGGCCAATGGGACTCAGACTTCATTTGAGACTCAGGGTTCACCTTTTACTTGGACCTTAAGCTTCCAGGAGAACAGCATACTTTTGAAATCGTCTTGCTTCCGGCCTTCAGATTTGGCAAATCCCTCTTCATCTCTGACTACATGGACCACAAGTTTTCCAAGCTCACATTGCCTTTGAAGTGCACCAGAGGATCCCAGGGAAGCTCAGGTTTGCACTGTAATCAATAATAATATGTCTGAACCCCAAGCTGTGCTAGGCATTCTGCCTGCCTTGCAAGTCAAGCTCTGTTCTCTCTCCCATCCCTGAGACCCTCTCGGAGCATCTTCATTGCGGGAATCACGGTACATGAAGACATTTACTCCACCTCCCCCCACTCCTTTAAACTACATCTGTTCTGCTTTATGGGTTATAAACAAAGCTCCATGGCAGGGGGGTGGGGGGAGGTGAGGGGAGGCAGGACAGTGGGATGATTAAGAGCCCAGACTTTGGTGGCAGAGGTTAGTTCTCTAACTTCACTCAGGTTTTTCCTGTTTCCTAGCCTCAGTTTCCCCATTTAGAAAACATGGATAATAAATTCTGCCTCAGAGAAATGTTGTAGAAATTAAATAAGCTAAATAATTTCAAGTACTTACCATAGTGCCTGACACAGAGTAAACAAAGAAATAAACAGTAGTTACTATTTCTTATAATGAGGTGAAATTAATTGGGAATCAGAATTTATTCTTTTGCTAAATCAATATATTAAGTTAATAATGCTAACCAACATACCAAGCATGTGTATGTGGCCCTACTCTTGTGATACCTTCATTCTTCTGTCGAGTTTATATCTAGAATTTTTGCAGTTACCTCATGAGTTGACTTCAGTGGACTTCCAGTACATGAATCCCACTGTGTGGGTTGAGGGGAGTATTGATCCCAAGTTCAAATGGGGCTCTGCCACTTCTTCTTGCATGGTTTTAACAACTCACTTGTCCTGTGTTTTGATTTTCTTATTTGCTAATGGTGAAATTAACACCTTCCTTCGAGTGAGACGGTAAAACTGAAAATGCTTAATACATGGTAGGGAGAAATACTGCTTCGCCCACCCCACCCATTCCTTCCTCCATTACTTCCTCCTTTACTTCCTCAGTTCCTTTTCTATGCAAACTGACTTCTAAATTTCTGAAGTTCCTCAAATAGTGCTGTAAGTTTTTAGACTGTAAGTGGAAATTCCATACACTTTCAGTTAAAGGGATCAATGTCTATATAACACAAGGAGGATTAAACCTCATTCTCAGGGGTGCCTGGGTGGCTCAGATGGTTAAGCATCTGCCTTTGGCTCAGGTCGTGATCCCAGGGTCCTGGGATCAAGCCCTGCATCGGGCTCCCTGCTCCGCGGGGAGTCTGCTTCTCCCCCTCTCTCTGCTTCTCCCCCCTGCTCATGCTCTCTCTCTATCTCTGTGTCTCGAATGAATAAATAAAAAAATCTTAAAAAAAAAAACACCTCATGCTCAGAGAGGGCAGAGATTTGACCTTGACCTTGTGTCTTTGCCCAGTGAGTAGTGCTTGTGAGCTAAATGCTGAAGGATGGTAGTAAATGCCTAAATGGAGATTGCCTTTTTTTTTTTAATTAAACCTGCGTTTGCATCTTCTTACTGTGCTCCCAAGTCCTAGCACATGCATTTCTGTATGTTATTTTTAATATGGATAAATGAAAAGAAAAAATAGATAACTATCAGGTTCTCTTTCTTTTTTCTCTTTTTAATCAGCCTGAGTAGCTGTAGTCCACAGGTTTGAAGGTTAGGTGATATGTTGTCCAT